GGCTAAGTCTAAAAAGCATCTGGATTGGTTCTATAAAAAGTTATCTACAAGATTCAGCGCCAAGAATCTGGGGGAGATAGAGAAGATCCTTGGTGCTAGGGTTACGCGAGACAGAAAGAGCCGCACTTTACATCTAGACCAAGAACAATACATTCAAAGCCTATTGGAAAAGTTTGGATTCAGAAAAGGTACTCACAAGCCAAAGACAGTGCCACTCATAGGATATGAACATTTACGACCAGCAACAAATGATGACAAGAGAATCGACGTAACCAAATACCAGCAAGCAATTGGCAGCCTAATGTTTGCTGCAACCTTCACAAGGCCAGATATCGCTTTTGTGGTTGGAAAACTTAGTCAATTCATGAGTGACCCTGCAGAACATCATGGATATGCACTCAAGACAATTTTTCGATACCTAAAATCAACTGTAAAATTTCGGATCAGTTACGGCCTTGGAGGAGAATACAATAACTTTAAGATTTATTCAGATGCCGACTGGGCAAGTGATAAGAATGACCGCAAAAGTACCTCTGGGAGCGTCACCATGTTCTATGGTGGACCAATCTCTTGGTCAAGTAAAAAGCAGCGCTCGTTATCAACATCAAGCTGTGAGGCTGAGTATATAGCTCTTTCAATGTGTGCAAAACATGGACAATGGATTGCTCAAATATTTAGAGACCTCGGACTTCCAAAATATATCGGGAAGAACCCGGCACTCGTTCAAATGCTCGGAGACAATCAAGGATCAATTGCATTGACAGAAAATGCATATCTTAATGAAAGGTCAAAACATATCGACATTTGTTATCACTTTATCCGTGATCTTGCCGAAAAAGGGAGATTGATAGTTGATTATATTTCAACTGATGACATGATAGCAGATGGCATGACCAAACCGTTGTCAAGGGTGAAGTTCCAGAAATTCATTGAACAGCTTGGTCTTAGCTTCACACAAGTTCCCGCGACAGGATCAAAAATAAAATTGACTAGAGACCAGAACCAGGACAACTCTTGAGGGGGAGTGTTAAATGACAAGGTGTGTCTGGTTGGTGTAGGAACTTGCCGAGCCAGTCAAGGTCAAGCTTAGGAGTCGCGTCAATAACGCTACTCATGCAGATCAGTCGCGTGGAGGAAATTTGTACTTAGTAGTGATTGTCCGTCACTGTTATGTAAATAGCACATTATCGCTTCTCATTCTATCTGACCTCCTTCCACTGTGATAATTCTATTGTCTTCTCTACAGCTATACAGCTATAGAAGGCCTCCTAATTTAATACCTTATTACATTCCGTATTAATGCGACTCTTCATTGCCAAGAAGCGCCAATTTCAACAAAAGTTAGGGCCGAAATGGATGAGAATTCGTCGATTTTAGATGTGCTTGAGATTGCTTTCGACTCGAATGCGATTCTTCCCGGCGATCCAAGACACACAGGGAATACTAAGCGATTACACCGGCACTGCTGGAAGGTGAAGAGTTTATCTTTGTCGGCTATGTGAGATTTTGTGGTGATTGAGTTGACAATATAGTTAAATTTTGTCGCTCACAATAGAAAAGATTAATCATAATGAGCAAAGATTTGAAGGATCCAAACTGACATCAACTCCGATCAACTCGAGCCATGCCACTGGAACCTTTCATAGGTCTGAAGAGCTACGGACGAAGAAGCCAAGTCGGTCACAACAGCTTGCTCGAACAAAGTCCCTGAAGCAGACGCAATTTATATGCGGCTGTGTCAGGATTGCCTTCTGCATAATCTATATATGTGGAGATAACCAGAATCTAGTGTTCTATGATTCTGGTCTGGCCTTTTGGCCGAGCGGTTATGCACCTATCTCATGCATAATGTAGGATGGCGCCCTTTAGCCTGAATACCACCTCTACGACCCATGTCTCCGCCCTGCTGTCTACATGCTGCTCTGACAGGCTACTTAGGACAACTCGGCGTCGCCGGATCAATTGGTGTTGGTATACAGCAGAGCAAGTCCAGAATAAAATCAGTCAATTAACAAAATCTAGGGAAGGAAGGTTTCCTACATCTTGCTATTTACGTAAGGGATTTTAATTAACGATGCTGATCATAACAGTCTCAGTTGCTTAGCAAACGTTTCCAATCTCCACCCTTGGTAGTCTCTATAGCTGACAAGACCCTAGATTCCATCTCTACCGTACTGGCGCAGACAGCACACACACAAGGGAGTATTCCCGTAACACTCGGCCGTCAACTATCCACGCAGTAAGAGCAATTTCTGAGAGATCATGAACACTTAATCCATTTTCAAAAGTACTCAAGGTGGCCGAAGTAATTCTTCATCCTGAACCTGGCCGTGATATCGGGGTAGCTTAAGCATGGCGACATATTGCGCTTCTCTGATCCCTCGGCAAAAGGCTCCAGAGACTAGTTGCAAAGCAAATAGTAAAAATCGCCTTAGCTGTAATTGGTGCCGTGTAGCAATATAGGCCATTAGTGTCAAAGAATGCTAATAGACTTATTTCTTTACCGGTCAGATTCATGATTGCCCGCATATTGGCCAGCCTCACATTATCCATAATAAGCGAGGAGTCATTTTTTCGGACATTTATCTTGTATTCAGCTGTCTAGCTATGACGAATGACTGGTGCTATGCATACATATAGGATGACTCTTTTGACGTTTGAGACACTCATACTCTGGATTTCATTCATAAATACCACTATGAGGTATGCTTGCTTACACAAACAGTCGACCCTCCTCCGTAAGTACACACCAAAGGAACGTTTCAAAACCTTTGGTTATCCAAGCATGCCTTCGTCATCCATGCATACCAGAGCCGCGAGAAATGTGGTTATGTTTTTCCGAAATTGAACCAGCGGTCTCCTGTCTCGAGTGGGATATGTGTCCAAGCTATCCAGACTCTACTCGGAAGACCGGACCATCTGACTATGGCTGTGTTTATAGCGTCTCCTGCAATCTCGCAATCGTATTCTTGGCGCGTAAAATGCTCCATTTGTAAAATTCCTTGTCAAAGTTTAATGTCTCACTCCTTTCAACATTGTATCCACCGTCTGCATCGTTTTTTCCACTTGTCTAGATCTCTTTTACGCCCAGCCTAAAAATATGATAGCCAAATTTTTGCACTACTATTTGTTTCCTCAGGCGGGTATCTATGTGACTGTGGGCGTGAAATTTGAGGCCATTTGGGGCCAGACTCTGATTAGACGAGAATTGTGGTCATTAAAATGAGGATGTGCTCGTTCATCCGTAGGATAGATGAGGCTAAGGTAATCGAATTCTTTGGGAATGAAAGACTGACAAGGTGGAGTGTATTGAATCATTGCCTCGTGGGCTAAATTTTCCGGTATTGCGAAATTGGACTGAACTTGACTCTGGGAGAATATTTCACCCCCAGATTTGTAGAAGATACCGCTTACAGGCGTTCAGTCTTTGTGCTACTGAGTCGTGTCGTTTGCTTAGTTGCAATACTTTGACTATATAGCACTCTAATACTGAGTGGGCTTAACCAACAACTCTCCACTACGGTTTTCGCACTCTTCAATTTCCCAACTCGCTTCACTAGGTGATATTAAACAGGAACCTAAGAGCTCAAGCCTCTCTACACAGATCCCATTCTAGCTCATTGTGGTTATACTTTTAGTAAGGGGTCCAACAATGAATGTTGTCCAAGAATCTTGTCTTTCATGGACTGTATTTCCATATTGTTGAGAAATTGTGTCTTTATATTATCCGAGTGTCGTCACTCGCGCCGGCATAAGGGCTAATGAAGCTATGCCTGATGGAACTTTCCAAGCGTCAGATACCAGAGAGGTGTCAGGGAACAAGCTTTGAAGTTGTTGTAAGTGCAAAAGAGGTTCCGCTTTCCAAGCTTCATGGTCATGCTCAGGACGAATCACAATTCGTCGGTTCTTCGATGCTTTGTTCTTGTGGGGGAGTAGTAGGATTCGCTGGTATTCTCCACATAGAGGTTTTAAACGATTTTTTTTCCATCTAGCTGTTCGCGCTGCCCAGGCAACATTATCATTTACTGAAATTGTGGGGATAATCCTTGGTACAGCGTCAGAATTTTTATCTGCTATCCCACCACAAATTGCATCAGAGACCTCATGACATATCTGAACCAGAAAGCCTGCTCCGGTTCCTGGACACTCAAGATCCATCTCACCTAGATATAGCCCGACTAGGTTGAAGAGACTTCTTACCTTTGCCATTAAGTTTTAACTTTGTTCCTTTGTATCCTCTTTTTTAGAGATATTAATCTCCCGTTGCTCTTCCACAGAATCTTGCGAGTCTGATGGTATTTTCAGAAAGGAGTCGCTTGGAAGAGAGGGAAGTTTTTCAAATTAAAGGTTCCTAATCTGATTCGTACTCATGTTCACTGTTCAGCCTGGGGGTATTCAGATAAGGACACTACAACATACGTGTCCTACATCGTAAAAATGTTTACTACGACAATTATACCTTTTTCTATTCAAGGATTAAGGGCTTCCATAAAAGCGAGCAAATAAAATGAACAAACATCAAGGTATCAACTACGAGTCATTGAACTCATACCTCTCATGAAAAATAAATTGGTCGCGAGCCTAGCAAACTGATCGGTTGATGATTGCCGGTACTGGATATGAAAAGGTCGTGGAGAATAGAAGATCAAGGATGAAAATCCTGGGTGAAAATCAATTCAGGATCAACAACTGTATCTAACCTGTACCCACCATTTCCATGAAAAGAAATTGATGCAGAGCATGGGGGATCTACTAAATATTCGGCTTATTTACGGCACGACCAAGAACTTTTGGAGGATCTGGAGTAAATAGTGATCAAGGAAAAATGTAGAAGCTCTACCCGTCAGGATCTAGTAGAATCCCAGAATAATTGATACAGCAGTAGAACAAAAAGATAGTTGAATCAAACAGTGTCTTTACAAATTGATCGCCGCGCAATCGAATCAGTGATTTCCAAAACCTACATCCAACATATTTTACCAGCGACTGATTCATTCACAATGCGCTTTTCTAGTCTAGCTATCGTCTATCAAATCGCAAGCATCTTCGTGACGTCCAAAGCTTGGGCTATCATGGACCATATATTTGAGCAAAGTAAAATATTTAATTGTGGTGGAGTTGACGTTGGGTACTATGAATTTGCAGTGCAACGACGAACGGTACTTTCAAGGTCAGCAAGTGGTAGAAACCCAAGGCCTTGGTCTTTAGTAGTTCAAGAGTTATTTAAAAATAAACCCATGGGCGAAGAAGATCCACCAGTCATGTTTAGAGACGACTATTCAACTTCTTTAACATATTACAAGCTTGACGAAAAAACGAGGTGTAAGTATTAATGATCCCTCGCGTCGAATTAGCACAACTGACGTTCAACATCAGTGATGAATTACGGCTCTCATAATCTCAGGACTGACTATGTTGTCGCTATCGATCCAAGACGTCGCGCGTGTTCTATGATTTTGAAAACACAAGAAGAAGCGAGGGACAACAGCTGGTTGGGCGAGCCTAGTTTCGAGTTTTGCACCATTAAATGATGACATCTACAAGCCAAAAATTCACACCAATCATACAATTTTTTGTATATTTTCTTGATAGAATATTGTGATCCCCTAAATACAATCGGAACTTGAGCTTATCATTTTTGTATCTTTTTTAAGTAGCCACATAGCAATCTCACATGGTCAGTGCTGTGTGCATATGTTGGGTAACTATTCTGACTTCACAGACACTCTTAGTCTAAACATGATTTGCAAATACCGCCCTGAAATTTGCTACTTTGCATGACATAATCGACCGACATCCGTGATTACACTTTTTTTGCATCAGATTTTAATTGCTTATGCAGCTATCTAGCTATGACACAATATCAAAGAAAAGTACAGAAAAGATGACTCAATTTACAAGAGGAGCACTCATGCCTCGGATTGAATCATCTTCTTCTAGCACTCGATTAGAGAAACATATTTTCAACGACATTTTTGGCTGCCTAACCAACACAGTCCTCGAAACAACTTCACTTTTGGCTGCCTGACCTACACTGTCCTCGAAACGACCAAAGTGACTATATTGCATTCCATTTACGACATCTTACTGTCACTTACATTTCTCAATCACCTATGCCACCCCAGTCCTCCGCAGAGGCTGGCTCCTGGCCACCTCTCCCCACCCAACACGCGACGCGCCAGGACGTCGAAATGGATCTCAACGATCCACAATACACACTACCGCCTACACCACACAACACCACACCAGACTCAGTCTGCTGCGCGAGTCAATAGCACTCTCCAAACCCGAGCCCAAACCCCACGGCCGTCAACATGACCAACTTTCTCGCCGAACAAGCGAGAGCTTTCCAGGAACGTTTTGCGGAAGCAGAGCGCATCGTCAGCGGGTACTGCAACCTGCTCGAATCGACAACAGACGAAGAGTTCCGACAAGCCATCGAACTCACCGGTTTGGCTCTTCAAAGCCGGATCACAGAAATTCTGCGGGGCAATTCAGCCACCCCAAAAGCCACAGCACCAGCTCAAGCTGCAAGTGGCCACATCATCAAACCTCGCCTCGAGACAGCTAAAGAGTCGAGGAAGAAGACTATTGCGAGCGTCGTGCGTCCTGTACAGATCCTCGCCAGGGAAAACACGAGACTAGGAGCAGCCACACCACCCGCTGCTTCTGCGACACCAATCCCTACCCATGGGACAGAACAAACCACCAACCAGACTCCCGAGAGATCCTGGACAGAGGTGGTGCGTAAAAAGGCTAAGCCAGAAACCACAGCTGCCACAAAAACAACCACTGGCCACACGCCCACATCGAAACCCAAGGCATCAGCAGTGATGCAGGAAAAAGCTGACGAGCGCGTATTCTTACGGCTCAAACCGGATCACCCGTGGAGACGCATGTCTCCACATTTCATAAAAATAAGCCTGGCTAGTAAACTACGACTGGCTAACTCATCAATCAGACAAGTCATAGTCGTGAAATCTGGACTTGCAATACAAACTGACGGGGAAGGAGCAAGAAGCGCGCTACTAACAGGAGCGAATACCCTAGACAGCTCTGAAATGAAGTTGGAAGCCGCGTCCAATTGGATATCAGTGCTTGCACCCAATATTCCAGATAGGCTATATACCCTCGAGGGACCAGTACCAGTCACGCCAGAAATGGTGATCGAAGAAGCCACCCTCAAGACCGGCGTCAGACTAACATCTGCTCGCGCTTTTGCGACTAGCATGGCAAGGCCATCAACAGACTGGGTGCTACATTATGCGACAGGAAAACCAAAGCTTGGTGAACGACTATTTGAAGAAAGTGGTCGGCTGCACGAACTCCAGCGCAAGCCAAAAATTGCTCAATGCAACCGATGTTGGGGACACCACCCTACAAAGATCTGCTCGCGAGCAGAACGCTGTTCACGATGCGGCTCTGTCGAGCATAAGGCCACCGATTGCAAACAGGCTATCCCGAGATGCATAAACTGTCATGGACCACACTCTGCCGTCGAGCCTAACTGCATGGCTAGGCCGACGCGGGTTGCTGGCAAAACAGTACAGAGCACAAGAGACCAGCTGGCGGTAATTCGCGAACAAGGTCAAAAAGAACGGAACGCTTCGATCAGAGAGATGGAAGCAAAGCAGAAAGCCACCGAGGCTACTGCCGAAAACGAAAATACAAACGTTGCTCAATGCCCGTAAGGGACCACAACCCAACCGAGCTTCAAAAAATGGCAACAACAATATCGTTCCTCTGTGCTAATCTGGGCAGAGGAGACCCTGCTACGGACATCATCCTGCAATCCGCTTGGGATTCAGGAACCGATGTCCTACTTATCCAGGAACCCTGGACTCAACACAAGGATGGCTTCTGGCTCACCAAGTCGCATCCCGGATTCGATAGGCATTTGCCTCCCCATGCCGCTGCCAACTCTTCAAGGCCACGCTCCCTCATCTACTCGCGAAAGGGGATCAACTGCCAACAGCAAGCAATCTGCGAGACATCACCAGGTCTCACTGCAGTAAAGGTAGAAGGAGTCACATTTGTCTTCGTATACCGCGCTCCTGGAGCAGACCTTTTGCCGCTGCTATCATGGGCTCCATCTGGGCCTACAGTTATTGGCGGAGACTTCAATGCTGTTCACACCGACTGGCAGCCAATGGCTAATAGGCTACACGGTGACGGCCAGGTGCTCACCGAGTGGATGTTCGAGCACGGCATGGACCTATCTTCCACACCGGGCGTCCCGACACACGACTTTGGAAACACACTCGACCTGGTCTGGTCTAACGCTGGTGCCCTTGCAGATATTTCGATAGAGCTTGACTCGACATCGGATCACAGAACTCTTACGGGAGACGTTCCGCGTCCAAATTCGAAAGCCAGAGCTGTAATCAAAACTGGTCAACCGTTCCGAGTGACAGACGACGCCCTCGAAGACTTTGCCAAGGTACTTGGTAGATGGGCTCATGGAATAGGGCTACAGCCAATGGACTCAATAAGCGCGGTAGACAACCTCGCCGATAAGCTGGTCCAAACCATTAGCGATGCAATTAGGGCTACCGGAAGACGCGGGAGTGCGAAGAAGGGTAGGACGGCACCTCGGTGGACGATAGAGTGCGCACAAGCCAAACGCGAATACAGGATATTCAGGGACGAAGAGAGCAGAAAGGATTTCCGTCGCATTTTCAGAAGTGCGAAACGCCAGTACTGGCGGCGGAAGTTCTCCGAAGCCACAACTGACGTCGACATGTATCGGATGGCACGTTGGGCAAAGCCGCATTCTACATCTGCTACTCCACCACTCCAAACTCCGGATGGTTTTGTATTGGATCCAGGAAAGCGTGCACTTCTATTGCGCGATCTCCTTCTCGGCCGGTTCACCAGCCAAAACGACGTGGATATCAAACACCTCGAGCCAGGACGCGGAAACCTTCCATGGGTCTCAAGCGTCACTGATGAAGAAGCCAAGTGGGTCACAACGGCCTGCCAGAATAAAGCCCCTGGAGCAGACGCAATTTCTGTTCGTCTTCTTAAGACAGCCTGGCCGTCAATTGGACAAGCAGTGAGAGTACTCTTTGAGGGCTCACTTCGACTGAACCACTTCCCGAAGGCATTCAAGCTAGCCGAAGTAATTCTTCTCCCCAAACCCGGCCGTAATCTCAGTACAGCTAAAGGATGGAGGCCCATCGCACTGCTATCCTCTCTCGGCAAAGGTCTTGAGAGACTAGTCGAAAGGCGCATGGCCTACACCGCCATCTCGTACAAGGCCGTGCCGCAGCAGCTTTTTGGAGCACTCTCCGGCAGATCAGCTAATGACCTTGTCTCATGCGTTATCCACGATATGGAGCATGCAATGAAGAGGCAGAAGAAAGCAGTCCTAGTCACTTTGGACGTTCAGGGTGCATTCGATGCTGTACTCCACGGACGACTGCTGCAAAGGATGAATAAAGTTGGGTGGCCGAAACCAGCCATCACTTGGATAAAGTCTTTCCTGAAAGAACGATCTGCCCGTGTCAGACACGAGGATAGAGTAACAGACCCACTTCACCTAGAGTGCGGGCTGCCACAAGGATCGCCTTTATCCCCAATTCTCTTCCTCCTCTACATGGCCGAAGTCGTTGGGGGCAGTAGTTGGAGATTTGGCTATGCAGATGATGTTGCAATCCTCGGCATAGGTTCAACTCCAACTGAAGCCGCAGTAGCTGTCCAGAGAGAAGTCGATGCAGTCCTAGGGTGGGCCGCTGATAATGCCATCTCCTTCGACCCAGATAAGGCCGAAGTAGTCTACTTCGTCGGCCCCAGATCCAGGGGACACGATCTTCCGGCTATAAGGGTAGGCACTCGCGATGTACAAGTATCCGACGATATCCGATGGCTCGGATTACACCTTGATCGCGGTCTGACCTTCGAAAGCCACGTCGCAAAGTAGACCAGTAAAGCAATGCGGCTAGTGCAACACTTCCGACGGCTCACTCAGTGCACCCAGGGACCAAGGCCCGACTTACTAACCACAGTGATCCGCACGGTAGTCCTGCCAATCGCGATGCACGCAGCGGAATCCTGGTACCCGGGGCCAACCAGGGAAACCTATCGGGGTGTCGCGCGAAATTTATGTAAGAGACAGTGCAAAGTTATTGACCAAACTTCTGCCTTCGGAATCCGCATGGCTCTACCAACCTGGCGCACGATGCCTATTGCAGCCCTGAGAAGGGAGACTGGTATTCCGCCAGCACAAATTCTGCTCGAGGAACGCAGGCTCAAGACTGCCGCACGAATCCGGACACTAGATGAGTACCATCCGCTCCGACTTCGGGCAACGGAAAGCACAGACAGCGCTCGCCACCGCCTTGGACTAAAGACATGCAACAAAACCAGACTTGGTCTAGACAGAGTTCATGATTCGAGGGTCCAGAGGATGTATCGACTTCTGCCAGAGGCTGAACTATCTCCACCGCTCCGACCTCCGGTCCCCCCTCAGCCAATTCCCTGCTGGACAAGCAAGAAAGAGGCTGCCAAGTTCATAAGAGAGTGGCTACCT